GTTGGGAGGGGGGATGTTCTTGTAAGAGCATCTAATGAAACGGAATAGAGAAAGAAATAGCATACGCGGCAACGAGGAATGATTAGAGAGGATAGGAGAAAGTGAGGAGTGTGCGGTACGAATGTGAATAATGTGCATCTAGATAGAGAAAAAATTTGATTGGGTGTAAAATTAAATATTAAATTTGATTAGTTGGAAATAAGATGCGTTTAAATAATAAAAGTTATTTTAATTAAAAATCCACAGAAGACAAATTTGTGAAGTTTGTAAATTACTCTCTCCATCTTGAATTTGATTTCAAATTGCGGGTTACAGAGTAAAAATTTTTACTTTTTGAAATCATTTTATTTACAAATTGGTATATCAATACGATATAAAAATTACATATTAAAAAGCTACGTCAAAAGTTCTACAAAACAAGATGAAATATTTTATTTTATCAAATACTTAATGAAATCGCGTAAACAAACAAAAGTTATCGAGAAGAGAAAGAAAAAAAATTGTGATCTTTTTAGGGACGGAGTGAGTATTTGTTTGTGACTCTAACATTTCCCTGAAAAAGAATACAATGTGGCATTAGGAAATGATAATATGGAAGGGAATAATAAATTGAAGATAAATATGTAAAATTCCCGACAAAGTATGACTAAGGCATAGGCCCTATTTGAGACTAGTGTTAGAAGTTAGAGTCAGCATTTTGAATAAAATTTTAATGCTCGATGTAAATTACTTTAAAAATGCTAACACTAAACACTGTCCGTAAATAATCTTCTCAAAACGTAATAGCTAATCTTAAACATTATTCCTAAATAGACACATACTTGCAGAGGCGGACCCACCTTGAGTCCCATGGGGTCCCGGGACCCCACGGACCCCGGGGCAGGTCCATATAGGTATTAGGTATGTATTAGTGTTAATATATAAAAAACGCTTGTCCCTTAATAAATACAAGCGCGTTTAGTCTAGTGGAAAATCGCCTTGATGCTGCTCCCCTGGGACGGCAGTTCGAATCCCAGCACTGGATTTTGTTGGAGACAATTTCTCTCAGTCAACTCTTACTTTATAAACAACAAAAGTCAAAACGACGTCGTTTCCTCTCCCCCCTTTCTCAGTAAATTTCTTCTCTTCCCCAATTCTTTAATTTACATTTTTTTGGAACCCTAAAGCTTCCAAGTTCCAATCTGCCGTTTTGCTGCCCAGCCGACGCGACACGCCGCACGCCAGACCGCGACTTGCCAACCCGCGACTGGCGACCAGCCTCCACCCGCCAGGCCTCTAGCGACGGGCGACCACCGCAAGTCCACCTCTGGCTTCGTTTTCTTCCCTGTCTCCGGTCTCCGTCACTCCTGCGGTAGTGCGGTAAGGTAAAAACTTTTCTATTGATTTAGGATGGCAAGTGATAAATATTATTAATTATTGTATTAATTTTTATTTTATGTTTAATTTATAGAATTCAAAATGCAAAGGTACTTCAAAAAAGTAGCCAAATTTAAAGATTCGGAGTCGAGTGGAATTAGTAACAATGTTATTGCTCCGGTGCCTCAAGTAGATAAAATTTGTGATCAGTGGTTGAATGACTGCTTAGTAACTTATGTTGAGAGAGATGTTTTTTCCACCATTAGTGATGATGTAATTATAAATCACTTCCAAAGTATGAAAACTAGACGAGTACAATTGTAAATGATGTTGTTTTCGTATGCCTTTATTTATATGTATTAATTATGGTATTTTTAAAATATTAGTTTTAATTTATTGTTATATGTTAAGACTTATGAATTAGTTTGACATGAGAATGGAAGGTCCCATAACCTTGAAATCCTGTATCCGGCCTCTGCATACTTGTATTTTGTATTTAGCTAAATTGCTAAAGTAGCCGTGAGAAAGTATGAATATAAATATGCAAAATTTCTGAGAACAGCGATTTTACTAATTAAATTTCAAAATAATACTGTACTCCGTAACAAAATCGCCCATTTCTTGAAATTCATATCAAACATTCATTTCATATATACACATTAGAAATGGAAATGCACGGACCGGGCAACTGATTCCCAGATCTGGATGACTCAAACGGTCCCGCAAACTGCAGGAGTCAGTCCGGCCGCCGGCCTTCCTCTGCAGGCGGCGTTCAAGAGATGCGGCTTGACGTCGGAGAGGCGGACGGGTTTGAGGCAGAACTCCTCGGCGCCCTCCGACAGGCAGCTGCGAATCCTCGACGGGACGTCATCCGACGACACCACCACGACGGGGATGTGTTTGGAGGCGGAGCAGCCCTTGATCTCCCGGAGCAGATCGTAGCCGGTCATTCCGGGCATGGTGTAATCGGTGATGATCAGATTCACCTCCGCTTCCTCCACCACACGGAGGGCCTTCGTCCCGGAATCCACCACCGTCACGGTCACCTCGTCGCCGGAGCAAGTCGCCCTCACCAGCCTCTCGATCAGCTTCCGGTCGATGACGCTGTCGTCGACGGCGAGCACGTGGAACTTCTGGGAATCGGCGGTTGCCATTTAATTTTGTATAAACTTGAAATCTGAAATGAAAGAAGATCTGAGCAAGAAAGGAATCTTTAGGGGATGATTTGAAGAGGAAGGAATTCATTTGGGTGTATATATATACAACAACTACAAGAAGTGGGGGTGTGATTGGGGGAATCAAAAATCAGAGAGAGGGGCAAAAAGGGCATTAATGGAGATTTGGGGAAGATTTAGATATGGCGGTGGGGGTGACAGTTTGGAAAAGAAGAGATGCCCCGGGGAAGATCTTTGATTTGGACAGCACATATTTTACGCGTAGAGTATAAACAAAAGATTTGACTAACGATAATTGGGGTCAACTACGAACAAACGTTTACTTCGTAAAGAAAGAAAATACATGAAATAAAGTATTGTGAAATTTGCACTAAATAGGACTAAAACATAATGACTTTTCTAATGTAGGACTTAAATTTTTTTATTCCCTAAATAGGACTAAATAATGATCTCGTGGGAGGAATAATGTTCAGTAATGCTAGACATTTACTTGAATAATGACTAATTGTTAATGACCAAAAGTCCTACATTGGGAAATAAAAACAAATGGTCCTATATTCGGAAAGTCATTATGTTTGAGTCTTATTTAGGTAAATTTCTCTAAAGTATTTTCTTATGTTTATTTTGGAGAGAAAATGATAAAGGTGAGAAAACTAAGCATTAGTTCCACATAAAAAATTTCTCACCAAAATGGGTGAGAAACTTGTTGGAATTTTTAGTTTAAACTGCACATTTTCCGGATTTAAATTCGGTAGGGTCTACAAAATTATTTTCTCATAAGTGAGATGAGTGTTTCGACATATTATACGCCAAAATTGCTCGGGTGAATGAGAAATTATTTCACGAAGTCAAACACATGAAAAAAGTAAAACTCTTGTCCCACACCGGGACTTAAACCTTTCGTATTCACATGTATAAACTTAGGTATTTAATTAAATTAATGAAGGGAACAAGAAAAACCCCTCGCGCGCCGCCGCCGCCGCCTAGCCGGCTCGACACACGCACAGGGCGGGGCGGGCGGGAGGGGCGGGGCTTTATTTTTACAAGACCGAATTGAACACGTGAGGACATTTCGTTATAAAAGATGTGTTGTCATCCAAATAGAATGCATGCAACCCGTTATTAACGGGTGTATTCAATTTTGAATACACCCCCTAAATCACAACAAAGACACATAAATCTTAAGCCTATAAATGAGATTTCTCACCCTTAAGGAATTTGAAGCTCTTGTAGGTTATGGGTTCCTTTCTCCGTGTCTCTGGAAGAACGAAAAAAAAGTGTGACAAAAAAATCTAAAATACGAAATACCTGGTCGCTTAAGATGCAAAGATTGAAGATGTAGTGTCATTGAAGAAGCTAAAATGTCAAGCCCAACACCATCTTCGTCTGTGCTAAGTCTGATCGAAGTTCCATATCCGTCGATTGAGTTCGACTGCATCACTCGCTAAGGCGAGAGGCATGGATTATAAATTTGAATCCTAATTAATGTGTTTGGAAGGCTAAATGGTGAATCCAAGAGCAGATTTCTCTTCCCAAGAACATGGTATGTTTCCAAGAGCAGTTGTCTGTTCCCAAGAGCAATGAGAAAGGGATTAAAAAAATTAATGGAGACCTTTTATCTTCTCCGTGGACGTGTGTTTCCCATGATGGGAAACCTATTCTCGAGTATGTCTTCAGTCCTTTGCGTGTTCCCTATGCCTAATTAGCAGCACATATCCATACGGGGTATTATAAGATGTCTATCCAAATTAATTAGTCCATATCCGAAACCCACATCCGAAAACCAATTAGATGGGTGAGAAAATGGTACTTTTCATGTTTCCCCTTCATCTTTGTATATTAAAAGATAATAAGATATGAGTTTTTAATATAGTAATGCCTGTTTAGGATTTTATTGCCTGACACTCTAGGAGATCACATATGAGGTCCTGAGCTTCGATTTTCGGTACTATCATTATAATTCGGTATGATACAATATTAATTACTCATTCTAGTCTAAAAAATATGTTTTGACTTTTTCGTCTAATAATGATATTTTTTTTACCACAAGTGTGGGCAAAATATATTTAATTATTATATTAATATGATTAAATTCAGTTTAGAATATAAAGTGTGTTTGTTTGATGAAAAAATCATTATAATCAATAGAAGATGGAAATGAAAGTTTCCTATAAGTTGACCAAATCAATGTATATTTATTCAAATCTTTTGAATATTTTTGCAAGGGTTATGCTATGTGTACCCAAGGGTTGTATCCCAATTTGTACCCCGCAGTTTTGCACCAACACTTTGTGTTGGTGTAAAACTAATTTTTGTTAAATGCACCAACATTTGTGTCCGTGTGAATTTTTATTAACGCACCAACACTTGTGTCGGTGTAAACCATCGAAATGTTTATGCAAACCTGTGGTGTACAAATGGGGTATATTTTTTGGTGTAAGTGTAGCATGGTCCTTTTTTGCAAACCGGGTATAGGAGCCATTAGTTGCCCCATTAGTTTGGTAGGTATATGCCTTGGGCATAGGGACACGTCGCATATATATTTGCTGTCCAAATCAAAGATTTTCCGGCATCTCCTCCGCTTTTCCAAACTGTCACCCCCACCGCCATATCCAAATCTTCCCCAAATCTCTCCATTAATGCCCTCTTTCCATCTCTCCCGTCTTTGATTCCAGAAATCACACACCCACTTCTTTTATTTATATATATACTCCCAGATCTTATGCCTCGACCAGAAATCCGATCCTTCTTTCTCATATCTTCATTCCTTTCAGATCTCGATTCTACAGAATTTCAAATTTTGATAAAAATGGCAACCCCCGATCAACAGAAGTTCCACGTTCTTGCCGTCGACGACAGCGTCATCGACCGGAAGCTGATCGAGAGGCTGGTGAAGGCGGCTTTCTCCGGCGACGAGGTGACCGTGACGGTGGTGGATTCCGGGACGAAGGCCCTCCGGGTGGTGGAGGAAGCGGAGGTGAATCTGATCATCACCGATTACACCATGCCCGGAATGACCGGCTACGATCTGCTCCGGGAGATCAAGGGCTGCTCCGCCTTCAAACACATCCCCGTCGTGGTGGTGTCATCGGAGGACGTGCCGTCGAGGATTCGCAGCTGCCTTTCGGAGGGCGCCGAGGAGTTCTGCCTCAAACCCGTCCGGCTGTCCGACGTCAAGCCGCACCTCTTGAACGCCGCCTGCAGAGGAAAGCCGGCGGCCGGACTGAATCCCGCAATTTCGGGAACCGCTTGATTTATCGGAAATCTGGGAATTAGTTACTCGCTCAGAGTATTTTTAGTGTGTATATGTTGAAAGAAGAGTAAGGGGCTGTTTGTTTCATCCCCTTAATGGTTCAGATGTCTGAATGGTTCAGCACTTAATGGTTCAGACTGTTTGTTTCAGCCTCTTAATGGTTCAGATGTCTGAATGGTTAAGAGATTTGCCTCTGAATGGTTAAGTATTATACAGAGTCTGAATAGTTAAGACCTCTTATCTGAATTGATCAGACATTTGCCTCTGAATAGTTAAGCAATATACTAGCTCTTAATGGTTCAGATGTCTGAATGGTTAAGAGATTTGCCTCTGAATGGTTAAGTATTATACAGAGTCTGAATAGTTAAGACCTCTTATCTGAATTGATCAGACATTTGCCTCTGAATAGTTAAGCAATATACTAGCTCTTAATGGTTCAGACCTCTTACTGGTTCAGCACTTAATGGTTCAGACCTCTTACTGGTTCAGCACTTACCCATTCAGAAGTTGCCAAACAGCCCCTAAGAGTACAAGTTTTCTTTGTATGCAGCGCATAAAACGTCCATTTGTGCCAACTTTGAATATATGGAGTAATATTTTTCAAATTTGTTTAATTTGTTGAATGGTGTTTGAAAATTAAAAATTCAAATCACAAGAGAGCGCAAACTATGCGGTACAACAAGTTGTACGTGTCTTTCAGAACTAACGGTGCTTGAAACGGTAGAGGGCGGAGGGAGAACGACGCCGCTTGACAATCGATTGGGAAGGAAGAGATGTTGATGCACTATGAAAACGCGAGGTGGTCGCGGCTAAATTCCACAGTTGGTTGGTCCTTCAAATTTATTGGTCCTTCAAGTTTTAAAAGTCCATGAATAGTCTTTCAACTTTATGAGTTATGCATGATTGGTCCTTCAAATTTTAAAAGTTCATAAATAGTCTTTCAAGTACACGTAAGCCCTTCACATGAGGTCCTTTTGACTGTAAATGTTAAAAGCTAAATGGAATACTAGCTCCATATAATACGGAGTAGTCGCACCTAGTGGAATTTACTCGTATTATATGAAACTAATATTTCGTTTAACTTTTAATATTTACTGTCAAAAAGACTTCATATGGAGGGCTGACGTGGACCTGAAGAACTACTTATGAACTTTTGAAACTTGAAGGACCAATGGTGCAAAACTCATAAAGTTGAAGGACTATTTATGGACTTTTGAAACTTGAAGGACCAATCGTACACAATTGATAAAGTTGAAGGACCAATGGTGGATTTTAGCCTTCTTGTCGCTGTCGTTCACGTTTGAGTGTGGAACAGAGAAGAAAGGACTAAAACATAATGACTTTCTCAATATAGGACTATTGGTCATTATCCATTAGTCATTATTAAAGCAAAAGTCTATCATTACTGGATACAGAGTATTATTCTTTCCACCGAATGTTTTTAAGCATATATTATTTAGGATATAAAAAAGTTTAAATCATAGATTGGAAAAGAATTTATGTTTTAGTCTTGTTTAGTACAAATTTCACTTTATATAATTGTAATGAATATTTATGTTTGTTTTCAAATGTAATTATGAATACATGTATTTGCAAACGTGTGAAAATAAGTATTGTATTTTTCACCTTTTAACAATTAGTATTGGAACCAAAATAAAAAATATTTTTTTCGTCCCAAATATAATTGTAATAAACATTTATTTTTATTTTTAAAAATGTATACTAAATGGATGTTTTTTACTTCAAAATGAGTACTTTCGATGTACGGAGTATTTGAAACTTTATACATCAAGACATAAAATATTGGCTCTCATAAAAGAGAGTACGTAGATCTGTTCTTCGATCTTGTGTTTCAGACTTTAAATTGTTTACTTTTATTTTTTTGGCTGTTTCTAGTTTTTTGGTTCCTTCAATTCATAACTAAAATAATATCCGTTTATTTTTGTCGGATATCGAATTTGGATCCGAGACGGATACTGAAAATGAAAACCGTAACTGCATTCGTCAGATATCGGTCGGATATCGGTATAACCATATCTCTTTCTAATTTTTAAAATCAAATTAAACAATACTTTAATTTTAAATTAGATTAAACTCAAACTATTATTAAATCAACTATAATTTGTTATGGGATAATTATTTTCTTTATTTTCATGATTTATGATATTCTACGATAACTTCATACGATAAAAAGATATACACAGCACACATACACTCATATTTATTTTGTATATAAAAATGTCTTATACTTTTGAAATATCAATAGAGAAACAAAATGTAAACATAAAAAATTATGAAAAAAATATATATAACGGATCGAATATTCAAATAAAAGGTTATTTAAACGGATGCATATTCAGATCGAATTCTAAACGGATCGGATATATCGTTTAGTAAAAGGTTATTTAAATGGATGCAGATTCAGATCAGAATTACCAAATTTGTATCCGTTTAGTAATCGGATACGGATAATATCCGTTTAAAACGGATACAGATATTTCCTCTTTAAATGGATACGGATACGGACGGTAATCAAATTTTTGGCTATCCGTTGACAGCCATACTTTTATAGAATGCCATCAACCTAAAATTATCCCCCAAAATTATTCAATGTTATTCCACTTAAAAATCAAATTGTACAATATCATATACATTCTCAATATGTGTCAACAACTAAAATATACATAACTCAAATAATATCAAAATAAAGGCACAAAATTATCAAAAAGTGATGATTTAGAATTTAAAAAGATCATATATATAAATAAAAAAGATAATACCAAATTATGAAAATAAGATATTTTTCTCAATTCATACAACATCGAATTATTAATAACTTCAAAAAAATAACGCGAATAGTAGAAATAAGTACACTAACAACAGTAATAATGAAATAATATTAAAAATAAAAAAATTAACACGAAGTACTCCATATCAGGCAAGATGAAGTGGACAAAAAATATTTGATATACTCCATAGATAGTTTTAATTTTAACAATTTGATTTATGATAATCAATTTTAAATTTTTGTATCACTGTCGTGTACTGTTTCGTATCGATCCGGTTTCATTTCAGGATGAAAAAAATCAATACCATTTAAATATCTTATGAACGTACCATACATTACGGTATAGTATTTAGTATGTTAATTCAATTTTTTTCACCCATAGTAAAAAAAGGATAAGCTATATCCTCGAAGACTCCCTGCGATTCGACATGACTGTCACGGAGAGAAGTTAAATTGAGCTTTGACCGAGATTGGTGATAAAGATTGGATATGCTTCAGCCAACTTAAAAGGATGAGCCCTATCATATGTTAAACATAATTACCCTCCAATATAATCCTCGCGAATCAAATTCCAATTTCATCTTTTGACATTATTTTTCTTTGTTAATCGGATCGGATGTGTCATTACCAAATTCATATCCGTTTATTTTTGTTAGATATCGAATTCGGATACACATTTTGATGGATATTGAAAATCAAAACTGTATCTTCATCCGTCGGATATCGGATATATCTAGAGCTAGCAAATCAGTCGGTTAGGACGGGTTCGGGTTTGGTCATTTTGAATTCGGATTATTTCGGGTTCGGGTCAATTCGGGTTCGGATTGAAAACTGTATGTTCATGACCTAGTGTCATCGGGTTCGGGTCGACCCAACGAGTTATGACTTTGGTTTTTAAATTTTTTAAATTTACATTAACACTTACATTTTCTATTTAATAAATTTAAAATATCAAAAAAAAATATTAAATCTATTTGATTATTTTATTTTGAATCTTGAAATAATTTTAAGTTTCATAAATCAATATAAGAAATTTAAAAAATGCCTAAGTTTTAGAAAAAAGTAACATAGTTATGCAATATCATTAAAATTTTATTTGAAAAGATAAATTTATACACTACAAACGAGGAGTATGGTGTATGATTTTGAAAAACTCTTATTTTAGTGGGTTGGTCAGGTTGGGTTCGGTTTCGGTCAGGTTTAACCCATTTTTAGCGGGTCATTTCGGGTTCGGTCAACTTCGGGTTTGGTCATCAAAACCTCTGTTCAAAATCCTGTATTTTCAAGTCGAATCATTTTTTGTCAGGTCTAGATATATTATATCTGTATCTGTTTCCAATTTTTAAAACCATATTAAACAATACTTTAATCTTCAATTAAACTAAACCAAAATATAATTAAATTTAATTAAATTAACTATAATTTTTTATGAAATAATTATTTTATTATTTTTTTAAACGGATAAACAATTATTTAAACGGATGTTAATGCGGAGCGGATTATAAACGAATCGGATGTATGATCACCAAATTCGTATCCATTTAGAAATCGAATATCCTTAATTGCATATAAATAATAATCACTTTTAATAGATGCGAATATTTTTCATATAAACGGATACAAATACGAATAGTAATCAAATTTTCGATTATTCATCTAGGGCTCTCACTTAATTGTAAAAGAATCCATAGAAGTTCCTTTAAGTTGACCGAAGCATTTTTATTCAAATCTTTGTGTAGACGCGGTTGAGGATCCATTAATTTGGTATGTGGGGATATGTGCTGTCCAAATCAAATATCTTCTGGAGCATCTCCTCCACTTTTCCCAACCCCACCGCCATATCGATATCTTCCCAAAATCTCCATTAATGCCATTTTGCCATCTCTCTGATTTTTTGTCCAAGAAATCACACCCCCACTTCTTTTATACTCCGTATATATACACACCCAAATGCATTCCATTCTGCATTTATCCCCAAATCTTACAATTCGAGCAGAAATTCGTTCCTTCTTTTTCCTCAGATCTTCAGATTTCGGATTTTTTAAATTTTGATAAAAATGGCAACCGCCGATCATCACAAGTTCCACGTTCTTGCCGTCGACGACAGCGTCGTTGACCGGAAGCTGATCGAGAGGCTGGTGAAGGCGGCTTTCTCCGGCGACGAGGTGACCGTGACGGTGGTGGATTCCGGGGCGAAGGCCCTCCGGGTGGTGGAGGAAGCGGAAGTGAATCTGATCATCACCGATTACACCATGCCCGGAATGACCGGCTACGATCTGCTCCGGGAGATCAAGGGCTGCTCCACCTTCAAACACATCCCCGTCGTGGTGGTATCATCGGAGGATATCCCGTCGAGAATTCGAAGCTGCCTTTCCGAGGGCGCCGAGGAGTTCTGCCTAAAACCCGTCCGGCTGGCCGACGTCAAGCCACATCTCTTGAACGCCGCCTGCAGAGGAAAGCCGGCGGCCGTACTGACTCCCGCAGTTTGCGGGACCGTTTGAGTCATTCAGATCTGAGTATTTTTAGTGTGTATATGTTGAAATACGAGTTTAAGAGTACAATTTTCGCTCTGTATGTGGCGCATAAAACGTCCATTTGTGGAAGCTTTGAATATATGGAGTAATGTTTTCAAATTTGTTCAATTTGTTGGATGGTATTTGAAAATTAGATATATACGGTGGAATATTTGAAAATTCAAATCATAAGCGAGTGCAAATTATTTTGTACAACCGGTTGCTAAAATGGCGAAGGCCGCAGGGAGAATAGGTCGGACGAAGAGAGTGTGGGTCGAGGGGCAACGACACGCAACAATGATGGCGTCGACCTTACATCACAAGAGTGTGTGGATCACACCCATAACGTTCATTTTGTTTTTATTTTTTCAAATCATAATTAAAGTAAAATAAATAACATTAAGCAAATTATTTAATAATATTAAAATTAAAATTACAATGATACGACTAAAATCAGAATTAGTAAAAGTTAGAAACACCTACTCCTTCACTTATCAAGAAATCCAAACTCCCATAAGCATACATATACATAAATACACACACACAAATGCTATAGAGTATTGTGCCCATCGCGAGAAGAATGAGCAGACTCGCAAGAGAGGGAGCTGCACCACCGCTGCTATGTCGTTGTGCACTTCCCGCCGCTAGCCGCCGTTTTTTGCCGTTTCCCTAGCTGAATTCGATTTGTCAATTTATTTTCTTCGCCAATTGATTGAGATGATTTCGTGGCTTTGTTATACCATTATTAGAGCATATGCAGTGGCGAGTAATTCATGTTCTTCACCCTGCCACATCATCCACTTACTTGATTCCCATGGAGAGGAATGAGCATTCCACCCCGCCGAGCGAGGCATGTGCGAGGCATTCATGTTCTTTTTTTTGTTTGTTGAAGAAATAGGGTAGGCGTAGGCTATAGCATATGGATAAGAAGGAAACGGATGGATTGCTTTTCTTTTAAACAAAAATGTTTTTACTCCGTATTTTTTTGTAAGACATTTAAATAAATTGGACAACATATTTTTAAATTTTTTTAATAAAGAAAATTAAGTTTTTTTATTTTTTAAATCTTTTTAAATAAGGAAAAACAATACTCCTATTTATAAATAAATGTAAATGAAGTATTTTTATAATCAAATAAATAATTAAAATCATTTTTATTAATTAAAATACATTTAAAAAGTGCAAAAAAATAATAAAAAGAGTGACTTGCCATTGCAAGGCATGCCACTCCACTCATTTGCCACACGATGACTGCATTGATTTTCATTGGCTAAAATACTCCACGTCATTGTGTGGCATTCCATTTCTTACTTGCCATTGCACATGCTCTTAGAATTCATAAATAGTGTTAAATGTAAACATAGCCAATCGTAGATTCGTGCATGTGAATTATTTGGTTATGATTGTTAAATTGTGATTTTGTTAAAATTGGTTGGTTGATGAGGTGAGGACGAGATATGTTTCATTACTCAAATTATTATTATTTGTATGCTAAGAGGTGGTGGCCCTCTGGCGATCAACTCATCCATTTTCTTTTCCAACGTAACGCACTCCGACGTATTGTGAGTGCTGTTACGGTGATACTCGCAGTACTTGAATTGGGGGCGTCCTGGACGCTGTAGTTTTCCCGATTACGAGGAGGGGCTGGTAAAGATTGGACCGCGTGGACTGGCGTTCTGCTCGCTTGATAGCCTGTAGGATTTGGTCCCCTTCCAAAATCTTTTCGCTTCTTGCCCTTCCCCGCTGGTGCGCACTCTTCTTCTACAGTTCTACTTGTGGGCAGGTGTTTCATCATCATCATCTTCTTCTAACGCCAGGTACTGCACCCTAGCCAACATCTCTTGGTGTGTAGGAAGTGGATTTTGTCGCAGCTCGTTGCGCACATCCCCTGGGGGTGCTGCTTGGAGCATGGCGGTCAAAGCCTGGTCGTCTGCTCCTTGGACATCTCTGGCCTCCTTCTCCCACCGGTTGATAAACTCCCAGAGTTGCTCCCCCTTTTGGATCTTAACATTGAGCAGGTGGGAGTAGGGAAGCTTCGGCCTTCGGCTTGACGCGAAGTGCTCCAAGAACTTATGGGCCAAGTCCTTCCATTCTTCGATTGATCCCCTAAGCAACTTGTGGAACCACTCACAAGCTTGCCCCTCCAGTGCATCCAAAAAACTTCGGCATTGGACCTCCTCTCGGTACGCGTACTTAACCACGTTTGCTTGGAAACGTGCCAGGTGGTCCTAGGGGGTCGGTTGTCCCATTGTACGCCTTGATCTGGGGGGTCTTGAAGTTGTCAGGGAGAGGCACGACATCACTCTCTTCGAGAACGGGGTTACCTCATTAAAAACCGCCTAGCGGTAGGGATTCTGGGCGTCGAGCCACTTCTCCAGTCGGTCGACCATCTTCCAAAGCTCGACCGCGTCTTTGTCCCCAGTCGCCTTATGCCCTCCCTCTGAATGGGCCTTGGACGTCGCCTTGGACTCCTCCCTTGAGTCCCTTCTCTCCCTAAGCTTATCTCTCAGGTCGCCCTTCTAGGCTGACCGGTTGTCTTGCAGCCGATCGAACGCGGAGGTTTGAGGCTTCTCTTGTTTAGGATCCCCCAGCTGATTGAAATCGGAAGCCCGCTCGAACGAGGACGACTCAACTTCCTCGTCTTGCCTGGACCGATCATCCTCTATCATTGCCTCCCCATTAGGCTTGGTCGCCTTCTTCTTCTGTGAACGCCTGGTTTTCTTCTTCTTTCTCCCCTCAGAAGCTGCAGGTCCGGCCTTCCCCCCGGCCTGTGCCCCGATGACATCGTCGCCACTTCCTGGGTTGGGGTTGGGGCCGCCATCACCTCTTTGAACTGATCAGCCGTGATCTCGATCCGTTGGATGAGGGCCTCAGCCTCTACCACACTGATGGGAGGGCGACGACCTCCAGTGGCGCTGGTTTCTCCCCGAGGAGGGCTTCCGGTTGGCTGATTAACGTTGCTTCGGGTTTGCACCATCGTTCTTTGGAAGGTCTTTTCTCGAGTGAATTTCTCGAGCTCTCAATGAAAGCACCAATTTGATGGATAATAAATCCACCAAATGATCCGACTTGAACGACAGATCCCAAAAATTAACGAGAACAAAGAACTCAAGAATTATAAAATTATACAATAGGTTTTGCTTGAGGGTTCCCGTTCGGGTCCTCCATATTTATACATGCAATCTACATAATTATGGTAGTTTACATTTTATGGAAGCTAATTCAAGATTCGCGCGATCCCCTTCCTTCGGCTACTTTTCTGCATTCAACCGCGTCTCCTTCTCCAATTCGGACTTCCCCAGCTGTATTAATTTTGGTCGGTCCAGGCCCAAGGCTTTGGGATGGCCCAAAACCGATGCACACACATACGGGTACCCAAGCGCCTCTTGGGTACGAGATTTGGGCCTCTCGTTGGGTATCGACGCATCAAACGGGTTTGTTTGTTTTTTGTTTTTTTATTTTTGTAAAGCAACGTATCTAAAGCCATTTAAGATATAGAAAAGGAGAAAAATAGATCATTTATCCCCGAATTCTTTGGAATTGCATGGTTTACCCTTAAAACGAAAAACTGCATTGTTTACTCCTGAATTCTTTAAAAATTGCACGATTTACTCTTAAACATTAAAAATTACACCAAATATCCTTGAACAATTTAAAACGTTGCATAATTGGTCCTAAAATGCTAGATAAGGAGTGCATTGCTCCCACGCAAAAGAATTGCGGGTATGATTATCTGGCCATCGTAAATTTTCCATTGCATCCTTCCCCAAAATTATCGTCTTTATTTAAAGACGTTTTTGTTTTTTTTACTTTTTTAAAATAAAATACAGAGTAAACTAAATAAAACTTATTTTACATAATATGACAAATATTTCGAAAGGAAGGAAATACTTTTTTCATGTTATAAGGATATGGGAGATTTTGTAAAATGTTTTTAGACAGATCTTGAAAAAAATAAGAAATTTGTGTTTAAACGGAGACAAAATATTCTATGAGAATAAAATTTTTTTAAAAAAGGGGGGGACAAAATTGGTGCGTGTCCAAATCAAAGATCTTCCCCAGATCAAAATATACTCTCCCCGTCTCTTTGCCGACATATCTAATCTCCCCCAAATCTTCACCGAAACCCTTTTCGCATCTTTCTGATTCATACACCCATCCACCGCATGTATATATTCTCCCCGCAATTCAACTCCATTCCATATCGATCTACTGAAAAAAGGGGTTAATTCGAATAATCGATCTCATTTTAGGGGAAAAAATGGCACCCGCCGATCAGCAGAGGTTCCACGTTCTTGCCGTCGACGACAGCGTCGTCGACCGGAAGCTGATCGAGAGGCTGGTGAAGGCGGCTTGCTCCGGCGAGGATGTGACCGTGACGGTGGTGGATTCCGGGGCGGAAGCGCTGCGGGTGGTGGAGGGAGCGGAGGTGAATCTGATCATCACCGACTACAGCATGCCCGGAATGACCGGCTACGAGCTGCTCCGGGAGATCAAGGGCTGCTCCGCCTTCAAGCACATCCCTGTGGTGGTGGTCTCGTCGGAGGACGTCCCGTCGAGGATCCGCAGCTGCCTGTCGGAGGGCGCCGAGGAGTTCTGCCTCAAGCCCGTCCGCCTCTCCGATGTCCAACCGCATCTCCTGAACGCCGCCTGCAAAGGAAGGCCGGCGACGAGGATGACCTCTGCAATTTGCGGGGCCGTTTGATTCACCCGAAATCGTTTGTCTGCTCTGTGGATTTTAGATGTGTTTATATTGAATTTCAGAACAATTTTGTATCAAATGTCTTCTGGTCCAATTCTCTGTGATTGCCATGAAAAAAAATCAGTTTGAAATTTAAATGCATTCTGGATTGGAGGCTATAATTGATGAATTTTTGAATCTTTTTTTACAATCCCATTTTGAAAACTAGAATTTATATCCGTGTGTTGTACGATCAATAAATACTCCGTATAAAATAGTTAATGTATAATTAAAGGGCATCTTGCAAAATACATAATGTGCCCTTATTGTTGATTTTTTAATTCAATTTTGTTGAATGCACTTTTTGCTAAGATTAAATAGATTAAAAGAAAAATAGATTTTTTATCCTTGCAAATTTGAGTCTTTTTTGCAAGGATAAAAAATATATTTTTTATCCTTGCAAATACTTTCCTTCCACTAATTTTCTTTAATTTGGTGTTAATGTTGAATTTTATTTTGACCGCTACAAATATTAGGATTCTATAATCTTTCTAAAATTATTTACGTTTAAAGTAATTTTATTTTCTCTCCGTACAAATTCTGATACGTAAACTCAAAATTGGTATGCAGGCTATTTGTAAAAAAATATATTTTATAGGAATGACTTAATAAAGAAATACTCCCTCCGTCCCTAAATAAAGTTCCATTTTTGACTTTTTGAAGATTTAAGAGAGGGATATTTTGGTGTTGATTTTCCAAAAATACCCTTGATGTGATGTGTTAAAGTAAGATGTGATAGGTAGATTATTAGTAAAAAAGTATGATGTGATGGGTAGGGTATGAAAAAGTAAGGGGTAAAAGGGGTTTTTTAAGGGAAAAGAGAAGTTTATTTAGGGACAAAGAAAAAACGAAAGTGGAACTTTATTTAGGGACGGAGGGAGTACTACCTTAGAAGAACCACAAACAAACATATATCATATTTTACAGAAATTAATAAAAATATATTTAACCCTTTATTAAATGTATTTGAAAACAACAACTCATCAATTTTTGAAAAAATGTTTTATACTCCTTTTGTTCACCAAAATATTCTCTTTCATTTTTTCTCTTCCACCAAAAACACTTTCACTTTCAATTAAAAAATTACTTTTATCCATATTTTTTTACCCTACCTATCACATCATATTTTTTCACTAATAATCTGTCTATCACATACTCCGTATTACTTTTACGCTTTACATAAGGACAAAATTAAAAAATCAACTACAATTTAACCATTTCTTATTTTGGCTTTTGGTCAAAATAGGAAGTGTTTTCCTAAACAGAGGGGTATCATAGTACCCCGTATTTGTTGTTAGTAATAAACCCACTAAAAAACTCTAGCATGCACCAACCCCCCTCCCCCTCCCAAAAAAACTCTTTATTTTAGAGTCTTCCACACGAACAGAAATGTGACTAATAAAGACTTACGGAGTATTAACTCTCATTCGCTGATCTATCGCAGTGTCCAAAGCACTCACGAGTAACAAATTATTTAGACATTATTATTTACAATATAGGGTGATAAGCCATTATATATGGTCTTGACTCGGGAGGTTTGCTGGGGTGGGGTGATTAGCCTAATTTATGGTCTTGGCTCGGGGGGCAAGTGATGGTTGCCGGTAAAATTAGTTGTCAAGATTGGTAGGGTCGAGGATTGTGTGGGTCCGATTTCTTGGGCTATGGTTGGAGGATAGGGGGGTGGCCAGCTGACCGAGAAGGGGCGGTCGATGGTGGATGGGGTGGCAACTGAGCGTAAGCTAGAGATTGAAGGTTGGGAGTTGAGGGCGAGTGACTAATGACGATGGTGGCTAAAACTGAGATAGTGAGATGACAATGGAGGGGACGAGGGTTTAATAGAGGCTAGGGGAAGGTGGGGTGGTGTGGAGGAGTATGAATAGGGGTGGACACGGTACGGTTCCGGGACGGTTCCGGTTGAAAGGGGGCGTGGCCATAAAGTGAAGATGTGGATTTTTTTAATTGATTGAAATAAATGTGTTGAATTTTGATTGTTTGAATTAAAGGGGGGGGTAGGGGGGAATTTAGCTGTTTTGACGTTACTCACAGAAGGGCAACGCCCCATCACATTGCTACTATTATGGAAGAGGGGTGTGAAGGAAGGTGGCGAGTCCATCTTCACGCTCCAAAACACATGGTCTGATACGGAGAGAGCACACACACACACATATATTGGAGTAATTTTTTTAATAAAAACATGACCTTTTCAAAATTAAAAGACCAACCAAATGATATTAAATTACAATATTATTCATTTTATTTCCAACTTTGATGTAAAATACGTAGTAGTCAATTAAAAACATTATTTTAGGAGGATATAATTTGTCAAAATATGGTTCAAAATTGTTAGAAATGTCATATGGTAGCAGTGTTCTTACCCAAAGCCAGTGATTCGTTGATTTGAAATCACGAACTTCTCAAACCCTAACCCCTAAATTCCCGAATTAAACTTCCCGCTATTGTTAACCAACTTTTTCCAAACTATCTCAAATCCAGATTTCAAGTTTCTGTTATAGAGCTCGGGGTAGCGGGATTTGTTCTCGCCGTCGAAGAAGATGATGCCGGCCAGCGATCCATTGCAGCAGCACCATCACCACCACCAGCAACAGCAACAGCAACAGCAACACCACTACCATCAACAACCGCAGCATCATCAGCCGCCGCCGCCGCCACCTAATCAGCAGCATCAACACCACCAGCAGCCATTTCCGTTCGGAGACTTCCCTAGGGGCCCACAACCTCCTCCTGGTCCGCATCCAATGATGCGTCCACCCCCGCCATCCTCGACCGCTCTCAATGCAAATGCTCCTCCTGACTTTCACCACCATTCTATGCCCCCTGGACCTCCTCATCCTCATCAGGCTTACGATGGTACAGTATAACGTATTGCAACAAGTCTTTGTTGCCACTGGAGTTCATGTCTATAATGGTGTTAACTGATTAATTTACAAAAAAAGCAATTGTTTCTTGTGAGGTTATATGAACTTATTTAACCTGAAGGGGAACCATGACACTAGAATTGCCCATCTTGGAGATTAGATCCACTTTTCATATACTTCTGGCAATGCCATATTCTTTGGTCTCCTTTAGTTGATATGAAATACCAAAATTCACAGACAAAATTAATTTTTTCCTCAAAATGTGCTATCCTAGTGTCTGTCGATTTGCTTGAGCTTCATCTGGAACATCTGCCTTTAGAGAAAACTGTTACTAAGTTGATAGGGTTTGAACAAATTAATGGGGAGTACACAAGGTGACTATCATTGCCTTTTGCTTGCATGTAGCTCATGCTGACAGTTATGCTGCAAAGAGAATGAGGAAAATGGGACAAAGAAGAGCTGTTGACTATACTAGTACTGTGGTACGATATATGCAGGTAAAGGTTGTTGAATGTTATCTAAGTCAAAATATAGATGTATGCAAACACACACACATGTAAGACTCATTATAGCAGTATTAGGTTATAAAAAAATCACATTTGAACTCATTATTATATTGTGTTCATTGCCAATGCAGTTAATAGAGTCATTATGACAATGCTCTCACTTTGGATAATTAATGGAGTAAATCAAAATTGAATATGAAACTTCTCGTGCTTCTTGATTCCTATGAAACTTTTGGCAGTAAATGCATCAAGAGTTTCATTTAAACAACCTTTTTTTTAATGGGGGTACGGTTGCGTAAATCTTGTCCTCCCAGAGCCTAACAGAGCGGGGATTATGCCGGTTTTTCTGTTATCAACTTGTTACTAATTATTCCAATGGAGCTGTTATTATGTTGAAATGCCATTTAGATTTCTGTGTTTGAACTTTGAATCACATTAATTGGAGAAAGGATTGGTATTCATGAAAGTAAGCAAATACTTTTCATTACGAACAGTGAAAAGAAGTAAGATATACACCTTACATGGATCAATATCTATTTTAATCTCAGATTACTGGAATGTGTCTAGCAATATGTTTTTTCAATTAGATGTGTTTTTGCCATTTATAATAAATGACACTTTTTATTGCATGTGCGGTATGCCAAATGTTTTATGTGATCTTAATACTATGTATTTGACATTGATGTTGGTGTGTAGATTCGCATGTGGCAGCGGGATTCAAGGGACAGAACTGTGTTGCAACCTACCCCTGCAGCTGCAGTTGATGTGCGTTAACAATAGAATAGTTCTTCTTCATTTTCCCCATTTTTTTCATTGTAGTGTAGTTTCAAATGGATTCTGCATTGCTCTCTTCCACTCAAAGCAGACTTTGTGCTGTGTTTAGCTGTTTGCCAACAATGTTTTTCTTTTGTTGGTCACAAATGCAGATGCTACCATCAGTTGCCTATTCTGATAACCCATCCACCAGTTTTGCTGCAAAGTTTGTTCATACATCCCTAAACAAAAACCGTTGTTCAATTAATCGTGTTGTGGTAAGTTAATTCTGACGTCTTGTATTTTTCTTATTCCTTCCATTTTCATCAGTTATTTATTTTGCATTTGAAAAGGCTTGTGCATATATATGTGTGCGCGCACACATCACGATGTCAGTATATAGTACATTGCATTAGTATTATTATGCCTTGAAATCTTAGGGACATTCCAAGTAATTGCTTACTTAAGTCATTTTCCACTTCTTAGTGGATGCTGGTATAATTATTTTAAGCACTTTTTATATCAAGCACATATAAAGCACAACTACATTGGATAGCACACAGAAAGATTCTAGTACCACTACCATCCCTATAAATTAGGTTTCCTACAAATTATTAGCTTATTTTCTTTTAATGTGGCAAAATGAATATTTAAAAATGCCACATCTAGCTTATTTTTTCCTGCTTGCTACACTGTTTTTGTCTTTATCCCTTTGCTAATTTTATAGTGTGTATTATTTTAAGCACTTTTTATGTCAAGCGCATATAAAGCACATCTACATTGGATAGCACACAGAACGATTCTAGTACCACTACCATCCCTATCAATTAGGTTTGCTACAAATTATTAGGTTATTTTCTTTTAATGTGCCAAAATGAATATTTAGTACTGCCACATCTAGTTTATTTTTTTCCTGTTTGCTACACTATTTTTGTCTTTGGCCCTTTGCTAATTTTATAGTGTGTACTTGCAAATCCATTCATTGCATTTTACTAAACATATAAGCTTGTTTGCATCAAAATCATTTACATCCTACTTTTATCTGAAAGATTTTGTTATATAATTCTATCACCCTAGCCCTTTTATACAAGCTTTGGGCATTGGGTGCCTAGA